CCCGGGCTCTCCTGGACACGGGGAAGCTGGGCGGGAGCGGGAAGGTAGCGCCGCCCCACCCCCACCGCGCCACGCCCCTCTCGGCACCCCGCTCCGCCGCTCCGTACCGTGTCACTTGATTGAGACTTCTGGACGGTCGCGCGCGCCGATACCCAACTTTCCTTTGGGAGACGGAAGTAACGCCACGCCACGCCACGCCGCGCCTCGGGATAAGAGACGACCGTGGCCCGCCCAAGGGCCGCGGCGGCTGCGACTGCTGCTTGAACAAACTTTTTGCGGGTCCAGCCGGCACACGGCGGCGGCGGGCGTTTCACGCGCGACTTTCGCCAAACCGGGCGAGGCGCGCTGAAATGCTTTTCGCGCGCAGGACCGTCGTCATAATGGCGCGCCTTAAACCTGGCGCCGCCGCCGCCGCCGCCCTCTCCCTCCTCGCTCTCGGCCGGGCCCTCGCGCGACCAGTCGCCGGGCCCAACAACTCTTCTTCTTTAGCATGCTGGTGGTGGTGCCTTTTCGCCCGCGCGGGACGAACGCCGCCGCCGAACCGATCAACTCGAAGAATGTTTGGAAAACCGCGTCGCGAACAACAGCAACAACAACAACTAGCGGAGACGATAGCGGGCGGCCCGGCTGCATGCTGAGTGGTGGCGAGGGAGGCGACCCCTCCTCCTCCCCGCCTCCAAGCCGCAGCCGCGCCGCCATGCTATATTGTGCCTGCACGAAAGGAATGCAGCCCTTATGGCTCTTATGGCCGTCATCGACTCGCCCGGCATATGGCGGCCCTGTAGCCTATGGGCCCTATAGGCCCTATGGGACCCCCCTCCCCCACCCCCAGCCACCGCCTCTCCTGGCATCCCACATGACATTCGGGGCCATCAGACTGTAAAAGCGTACTGCTGCAGCCGACCTGCTGCCCGACCCCGCCACTCTCTATGCACGCAGGTTTGTTTTACGACCACACTGCCATAGTATGAAAAGAAAACTGGGCAATCTCCCTCTCGGACGCGGACCCCCACCCCTTTAATATCGTTTAATATGCTTTTTGCCTCGGAACCTGCGGCGTTACCGCACAACCACCTCATCTCCGTGTGTGCGTCGACAACAGGCGGAGCGCCGGCTGTCTCTGTCCTGTGTGTGGGGGCGGCGCCGCCAGGACGTCACCGCTCCGCCTACACCTACACTGTAAACCTGAGGCGAGAACGACTCATCTCATTCCGACCCAGCGAGGAGCTAACTCGACTTAAGTCACCCACTTCCAGGGAACCTTCTGGTCCATCCATAGCATGTCACGCTCCACTTACCCATTGAAATGGGGTGGCACTTTGAGCTTTCTCCGAGGCCTTCTCGTATTTAAGAGCTGGTTTGCAGTGCTGCTGTGCGTTATAAAGACCAGACTAGACGTTGTCCAGCAGGTGGATGGGTCAGGCGTCTCAAGTTGCTGACATGCAGGACGCCCCACATTCACAGTGCCTCCCCCCCTTTCCCCCTCGTCCTTCCCCTCCTCTGGAGACCCCCGCCCGGCGGCGGCATACAGGCCAAGGGCCAGATGACGGCGCAACTATTACTTTTCATCCGCCTCGCTCGAGTAAAAACACACTACTTGGCAAAGTTTCGCCGGCGGGGAAGTGGTGGCACTTGGGGAGGGAGGGGGCAAAGTTCCTTGACGCGAAACAGCGCGTGTCCCGGGTACGAATCCTGGCCCGAGGGCAGCCCAAAGGTCGCCGAAGTCGCCGAGGCCGTTGCAGCCGGCGACAAGGAGTGCGCAAAGTTTGCGCGGCGCTGACGGACTGACGTTACACGAGGAGGGCGGTGGCGAGGAGGACACCTCCGGGCCCGAGTGGGGCCTTGCGGGCCTCGCACAGGGCTTCCGAGTGTTCTTCTTGTTGGCAGTTGTGATGGGCTTCACCAGGACGGAGGTGCGGTGCGGCCTGCACTAGGGCCCCGGGGAGCAATCATAGTGGAGAGTGAGTGAATGGCGCGAAAGGGTGCGAACGGCTTCACGGCCAGCTCGCCGGGAGTGCCACCTCGGCGCCGCCCCCAGTGAGGTGAGGACGGCCCGGTCGTATCCCGGCGGTAGGTGGACGTGCTCGTCTTACCTGATTAGCCACGCGTCCGTGGGGGTGTCCCCGATGCTTCGGCGCCCCACGCCGCGCGCCTCGCCTCCGGGAGCCCGCCAACCAGGACCGCGACGAGCAGCAGCAGCAGCAGGAGGAGGACGTCCCCCGGCCGGCTCAGCCATCGGACGTCATGGCGGTCTTCGCGCGCCGCCCTAGTCCATCGCGGAGGCGCCGGCGGCGGCCGCCCCGTCGGGACGCCCGTCGGGACACCCGGCGCCCGACTCACATCCGCGTCCGGGGGGCCCGACAGCACCGGCGGCAGCGCCTCGGGAGCCCCCGCGCTGAGCTGCGCTGAGCTTCCGCTCAATCTCGGTCGAAATGCTCGACCCGATCGGGCCTGGCGGGCCTGGCCGTCTCGGCTGTACGGCTGACTTATATTGGCAGTCCTCGTGGCGTGATTGGGAGTCGAGTCGATTCGAGTCGAGTCGAGTCGAGCCGAGCCAAGCTGAGCCGAGCAGAGCCGAGCAGAGCTGAGCCGTGCCGAAGTGAAACGCGCAGCGCCGAGTCGAGCCAAAGCCGCACCCAAACTGAGAACCCTCTCCGAGCGCACGAACCGGCCGACTGAACCAGGCAGCCGCGCCAGGCCAGCCAGCCAGCGCGGCGGCGGCGGCGGTCTGCTGTGCAGCGACGCACCCCCGCGCAGCGCCGCAGCGCGCCGCCACGCCGCCGTCCAGCGCGCAGGGCAGGGCTCCGCTCTGGGCCACCACTCGGCACGCTGCGCATTCGTTCCGTAAATGACATTCGGTTCGCGACTCCATTTCAATGCTGATGCGTGTTTATGAAACGCTTTTACTTCCACTCGCCCCACGTGATGGCGGTGGTACACTGCGTCTCTCCCATGATGAGGATGAGGGGCATTAGAGTATGCTTGAGCCTTGCGCGCTGAGCCGGTCTCATCACATTTCCGGGCGCACCTCCAGCAAGTTGTCAGCCGTAATATAATTCTCCGCGGCGCAAGGGGGATAGAAAGGGGTGGGGTGGGGGGAGTAGGAAGGAGGAAGCGCCTGGGCCAGACAGACAAAACATTTTGTCGCCCGCAATAAATTCAGATTCTCCGGCGAAGCGAGAGGCTGCGGCGTCTTATTCTTGTCCGCTCGCCCCCACTCTCTCAGTTACCGCGCCAAAGTTCAGCGCGGGGCGAGTGAGAGGCATCCTGGGCGCCGCGCTTCACGCTCCACTTGCCTCGGCCGAGAAGCGTACGGCGCACACACATCCCAGTCCCCCACGTGATCAAAATTATGTTAATCTTTTACATTCACGCACTGGCTATGCTCGGTTGCTAGGTTTGGTCCAGATTGGCTTCGTTTTGACGTTAGTATATAGGGGACTGTTGACCCGTTTTTGACGATCGTGTTCCTTGAGAAAGGCGGGGGGGGGGGGTCGTACCCTTCAGTTCCAGGCGCGTTTTAAAGTTTCGGCTGACGGGTGGGTTGAGAGTTCTGAGTTCTGTGGGTTTGCCTACAAACCGGGTGGTTCAGAGAAGACGTAGAGCGCTCGGGTTTGACTACCCGGTCTGTTAGCACCAGGCTGAGAGCATCAAGGACGGGATCCAGACTCGGTCTGATGGGAGATACGCTATGCGTTTTGCCTAGGGTGGCCACTAATTTTGCCTACCTGATAAATACGTTATTTTTTCTGCTTCTCAGGGGATTTATGAAAGCCTCCTTCGAGGAGTGGCTGAGGCACTGTTCTAAGGTTCAGCTGGCCAAGGGGGGGTTGCCTACATGCAAGGGGTCTGTGGCGCAAGTTGCCTACCTTTCAGGCTCCTCATGAGGGACGACGACCCACGACACGGGGCGGGGGG